TAACGAAGGAAGCTATTAGCGAAATATATCTTCTTGGCAACCGATACTGGAGCATACCGAGGATCGATGTGGGAAGAGAGCGATTAATGTGCCCGAAATGTACTTACAAATGTACGACTAATTTTAAGCATCTGCCAGCAGCTTCGAAACATTGATTAAACGGAATCGGTCGCTCGGAATATCTAATTTACAGTCATGTATAAATTGTAGCATGCATACGACAATCGCCGTGCTAAAAAATGATATAATAAATATTCAACTAAGATTTTTCGTAATGGTTTTAAAATATCATACCATTTATAAAATTCTGAAGTTTATCTCAGAATTGGAAATGCTAGCAATTTATTCGAAGAAAAAATTAATTCGTAATGTCAAAAGAATAGAGCGCACAAATAAAGTAGCTGTATGATTTATTAGACCGTGTCATGATAAGCTAACGTACATTTTGAGTCACAATAATCATCATAATTTATAACTAGGTTTAATCACGGTTGCCCGCGTCAATGGTCGACGTAATCGAATTAATGACCGGGAAACGATTCACTGCCGAACTTCGACAACGTCGACGTTTATGCGAAACACAGACAATAATCACGCGACATGAATTTGATTGAGGTTCGGGATTTCTCGGTTTAATCGGGATGATGTTCGTTTTGGAAGAATTCTGACAATGTTGATTGAAGTTGTCAAAGAGATATTCTCCGAAGAATACGCGAACATTTGAGAAATCGTTTCAACTTCGTGAGAGAGTTTCAAAGTGTGTTCTCCGAACAATGAGCAAAGTCTTTCGTGCCGACAGATAAAGCGACAGAAAAAAAAACGGACGTAGAAAAAATGCCAATGGGAAAAATGCAAGTTGAACGCGAGTGAAGCTGTCTGAGCAGTGACCTCGTTGGAATGAAGTTCTTTAAATTAATTGCGTCTTCTTATAGCCTGCAACAGCGATAACGCGCGTCTGTTCGGTCTCATATAGCCAACTCTTTTAAGCTCTTTCAAATAGTATAGTGCGGTAAAAAGGATTAAAATCGAAAATCAATGTGAATACGATTTTCGCTAATGATTATAAGTTTCTTTTCTTCTCAAAGATTAAATGTAGTTAGATTTTCTTTCGGCAAGAATCCCATTCTCGATTTTTAGCAGGTATTAGATGTAGTATTGTAAATTAAGGTTCAATTATGCAAACGACTCTTCCATTATAAATACCTGACACCGTAGAAGAAAGATAAGACGCTTCCATCAACTTCGGCGAATACTCACCTGGAAAAAAGTAAAAAATGTAACATTAGAAATTTTATTCGTATTAATGAATCTCCTACAGACAAAAATTGTTTATATCGCGTTCTTTCTTAGAAAGTTTTCAATCCATTGCTTATATGCAATGGCTTAACAAATAGTTTGTTTTCAATAATTAATAGAGATTTAATATTAAAATATTAAAGCCCAAATAATTAAAGCTCAAAACTTTAAGGCGATTTATCCATGTCATCCATGTCACATTTCTATTTATAATTTATATGCCACATATTTCGATTCTTTAAATACTTTTTGTATTAAAAGTAGCATATAAGATTATAAATATAATTCTATCGAATTTTTATATAAATGATCGCATCTATAATGTGAGAGCTTCAAATTTTAAATCTAAATATTAAAAAATCTCCAGTTTTGTGTGTGTGTGAGAGAGAGAGAGAGAGAGAGAAGACAACGTTAAATTTTTAAAAATATATCTTGTAAATCATACCATATGAAGTTGGCCTCCATCTTTTGAAAAAATTAACTTTTTATAAGGCTCATGCATAGTTCGAATTTTCGTTTGCACACTTTTGATAAAAAAGTTATCAAAAAAATAATTTTTATATGTTTTTAATATGAGTTAATTTCACACTATTCCCCCAACTATAAATAAATTAAATTTAACTAGCTTCAATCGATAGATTTTTGTTTGCACATTCCGAAACAAATCGATTTTTCATTTACGCACATTTAGTTAGAAATTATTAACAATTAAAGTTTCGGGACAGTTGACTCATATAGACAGGTTCAAATCATAATTACTATACTCAAAGTGACATGAATTGACAGGTTTTAGTTTGCACATTATGAAATTAGTCGATTCTTCGTTTGTATTCTTATTGTTAGTTAAAAAGTTACTATATTCAAACCTATCTACCTGAGTCGACTATCCTCGAAACTTTAATTATTAATAACTTTTAAACTAAAGGTGTGCAAACGAAAATCTATCGATTGAGATTAGTTAAATATAATTTGCTCGTGGTTAGGGGGCTAGTGTAAAATTAGTTCTCTAAAATTGTTTTCCAAATAACTTTTTTACCAGAAGTGTGCGAAACAAAAATTCAAAATGTGCAAACGACGAGTAATCGAATAAGCTACAGAAAATTAATTTTTTTCAAAGTTGGAGAACCAACCTCATACGAGGATCTTGTATATCACAGGTCACGTGGAAAGAGAATTTGATATCGCAAGCAAACCCGAGAAGTGTCGTTGAACATCGCAAGTTGGCACACTGCGAGATAGCTTTTGGTACTTTTAGGCTTCGAGCGCAGTTGATATAGTTGCGAAAGTCTCGGGAAAAGAAGGGAAGTTCCGATTGTGAGAAAAGATGCCACGTTAAACTATCAGCTCAGCGATTCGGGCATCCTCGAAAATATCAACGTATCGCCTCTTATCAGCGATTTTGGCAAGAATAATCCATCGCGATCGAGATGTTCATGTCAATTGCAATAGCTCATATATAATCCGAGTAACACTTAAGTTATGCAGCGTACTGAATCATACTTATATAAAATTTTATATAAAATTTATAAATCCTATATAACATTTATTTGATTAAAATATGAAACATGATATAAATATTTGATAATATTATTATGAGATCTTTTATTATCTTTTTTTATAAAACAATTCAATATTTGCAGAATCTGTTTAGGTATTTTAGTTATTGTAGTTACTTAAATCGTGTAATGTCAAGTAATAGCTTCTCTCTTTTTTAAAATATTGATTACAAATTTATCAAAAAATCTGGGTCTTTGAAGATTGACGCTATAACAGTAGAATTTGTTTTGTATGTTACGACAGTAAATAAGAGGATATAAAAATATCTAAGGGAAGAAAAGAGTACTTGTGTCGACTACAGAAACGGTCGGAATCCCACGACACAATGGAGGAAAAAGACCGATGAAAGGAACCCCTGCAATCGATCGCAGATTGTTTATCTAGGTATAAAGTAGCGTGGTCGCGTTCCGACCTTGTCCCTCCTTTGAAGAGTTTTCTTTTTCTATAAAACGTGGAAACGTTACACAGTGGAGCAAAACGAGCCGAATATCTATGAAGTTTCGCATATGGAAATACAAAATAGCTAATATTATTAAAACCTCTATTCTCAAATTTCGCTTTTTTACAATGTATGAAATAAAAATGCATACATGACTGTATATGAAAATCTTTCTCAATCCATTTATATTATTGAGTTTGAAAATGAAAGAAAAAAAAAGAGAAATACTGAGATATATTATCAGCTAGCGCAACGATGGGAATTTATAGCAGATCTTTTTCTACGATTTAACTGCGAATACTGGAAAGAACGTATAGCAAGTGTTGATTTATATTTCCACCGAGTTCCTTAAATTTTTTATTTGCGCGACAAATCAAAGAATTGATACGTTCTCCTGATAATATTATACAAATAATTTCTTTCTTTAATTCATAAATATGTATTATAATACTTCATATTAAAGCAATACGAGATGAAATCCCGATTGCACGTTACATTTATATGTCATTTTCAAATTCTGAATGATATACTTGCATGATCTGTAAATAAGGCGACAGCCTTAGACACGAATGAGCTAAACGCAGCTATTAACGCTTTCTCTGCGATTACGTGATCTCTTTCGACGAAGCTATCTAAGATCTCCCAGTTCACCTTTGTCGAGGTACTCCCTGCAACTTTGTGAACTCGATTCCTCAAAGAGCTACGATCAACAACTCCCGCAATCCCCGAGAGTATTTCCCAAACGCGGAGATCTCATCGAACTTTCGCTATTCCACGCAGAGCACTCAAGGGATTATCACTGAACATTTTTCTTTCTAAGAAAAATGTGTTTAAAAATTTTATTTAATCTGATATACGTCAATACATGAATTTTTAAGTAGGCAATTATTAAATAATTTTAATAATGCCATAAAATAAAATTTCATTTAATTTTAATTTAATTTCTGTATCATACATCACGATGGAACGAGATACATGCATCTCACCGTAATTATACTTAGAGAAAAAAAATAGCAACTATAAAGATAACAACTGAGATAACTAATGTAATTATCAGCGAATATTTACTGTTTTTTAGTAATAATATACTAATTCATTTTTAGAGATTAAGATTTTCTACAGATTTAATCTGCAGAAATCATAACTTCCAAAAAAGTAAATTAGTATATTAGATATTATCGAAAAACAGTAAATAAGTATTCACTAATGAGATTACATCAGTTATAGATATAGCACTGAAGTCAGTAATAATACTGACTCACTTTTAGAGAATACCTACATATTTAATTCTATAATATTATATATATGTATATAAAATTTGTACATTTTTATAGTTGTACTATCATGTTTTTCTTTGAATATAAAAATATAACGTATTTTCACATATTCTTAAAAACTATATAGAGGGAAGGTGCATCCGAACAGTTTATCATCGGTTACTTTCTAATTCTCATTAAACGCGATTAAATTTTCCCATTCATATGATTCGTTTCCAAATTAGTCGAGCGTAATAATATTATTATTACGAGTAAAAATTGGTTAGAGACAGTGGATCAATTTTGCATTTTTAATGCCGTACGAATTATACGATTGAACTCGACATGCGAGGACACGCGAATGTTTTATAATCCCGCGGGATAGACCGACGGGTCTAGTCGGGATCAGCCATAAAAAATTCAGTGTGCATGCGAGCAACAGGGGAAGGTACCTTCGTCGCCAGAAGTTGAGGAGTTGTCCTCGGGTTCGGGCGACGATCCTGAGGATCGTCGGCTGATTCTTGAGTCCGATCTACCGCATTCATTGCTGGCACTTCCTCCTCCTCGGTAGTCCTCGTGTTGACGTCCTGTTCCTTTCTCGGGGGATACCGATCGGGTGGACTCGATGGTACCGCATGTGCCACTACGTCGTCCTTCTCTTGCCTCGAGTGCGGGCAATCGTTTGCTGAAGTCAGTGGGCATCGCCGGTCGCTTTCTGGGAGTACGTTTACGTTTATGCCACGGTTTACGTACCAAAGAAAATTTTTTCCAATTTTTTTTTATATACGACTCGCAAGAACCGAATGAGAATTTGTTTTGAGAAACGCATTGAGATGATTCTTGGCATATAAACAAACATGGCGCGATATCTCACGTTAATTCTCGTTTAATTAATAAAATTTTATTTGAATGATGTAACTTTTTAACCGATTTTTTTCATTTATCATGTAATAACACGTCAGAATAAATATAAGCTCTGTAAACTGTTGATTTAATAGCGATTCAATCGCAAAACTGAATACAAGCGACCCGTTCAGTATGTTCAGATCAAATAAACGAGCGCGAAGTATAAATGATGTCGCCATACTGGCACTATGTTAAAAATCGAGATATTACTTCGGTTGATGTTGTCGATGTTATCTGATGACAGCACGTTAAAGCTAATCTCATGGTACGTGAAACGGAAGTGAACGAATCAGACTGCATTGAGTTTCACGGAATGATGCATGTGATCGATCAATTTTCTCGGATGACAACGTCAAGCCATTCTAATGGATCAATAGATCCAAAGCGAGCATCGACCGTCGCAATGCGAAAATGTCGTTCGACGTTATTGTTACATGAAAATAACAATCACGCAATTTTTTAGTTATCGTGTTTTTATGTTTTAATTAAATTGAAACTATAGATTGATATTGTGTGTCTTCCAACAAGCGACATAAATGACACGGTGTGACATAATGAATCATTACATCCTTGTTGTTTGCCAATGTTAAAAACAAAGATGACATGATCACTGTGTCGCTTGTTGGAAGGCACACATTGTATAATGATAACTAGAGTTAAAGAAGAAGAGTAAAGAAATAATAATCATAATAATTTTACAATTTCGGGTAACTATATAAAATATCTTTTTTTTTAATGTACATATATGGTACATATAATATCCGTAAAACGTTTAATCATAAAAGTTATAGATTACAATAATGTAACAAAAGCTCGCAGAGTTTAGAATTGAAACCATAAAAATTCAGACTAGTTTTATGGGAGCTAATAAATGAACTGCCCATCTTGAAGGATTGTTCTAAAAAAAACTAGTCTCTTTTTATCTGTCAGAATGTAAGTTCTTGAAGGAACCAACGGTTGATGCTCGAGCTATTCCCAAAGAATATTGAGAGTAATGAACCAATGTCAGTCGCGCACCGGACGTAAACGTACTCCCTGAAGTCGTTCGGACGATCGGTTGAGGCCGATCTTTCTGAGGCCGAATCTCTGGGCTCGCTGGTGGTGTTTCCGGTCGGCGATGCTCGCTTTCCGGCGGTGGTCCCTGAATGATGGTGGTGGTGGTGGTGGTGGTGGTGGTGATGGTCTCTGATTCCTTCGTGAATGGCATCACGGACATTTGCCAGGTCAGCGTTGGCAGCAGTCTTTGCCTCCTTGGCGGGTGATGGCGGCGGAGACGTTGGTGGCGATGGTGATGGACTTCCTGCACGAGCAGAGTAACACACTGCTGCCTTCCGCAGGGTCTCCCTGCACAGCTCGGAGAACATACTGTCTCCCCCATGGCCGGGGCCCCACCGGACCGGCCCGCTTCTTCCTCCTTCCGTTCGTTCTTCGTGGTCCTCTTCCCGTAGTACGCGAAACAGTCACGAATCTCGCTCGCCGTTCATCGTCGTCTCATCTTTTCTTTTCCGAACCGTCAACGCGGTGATTTCACCACGACAATTGACATTACATTGCGTTTGTCAAACGGGAAACCGATCGCATCGCTGTTCAGAAAAGAACTCGCTTGGAGATGGAGAACTCGCTTAGGCGAGTACCTGAGAAGGAGTGATTGGTAAGATTACACCAGGCTCGGCCTTGGTTCGTCGGCCTTTGCGTCGTAAAGGTTGGCTCGTGTTTCATAGTCATCATTTAGCGATTTTAGAAGGGAGAAACAGGGAGAAACAGACATTGGAGTGATAGATCGTTCGAAACTTCCAAGGTTCTTACGATAGATTCTTTGAAAAGTCAAAATTATATCTGAATATCTTAAATTTCTTCTTATTTCTTTGTCTAGATCTATCTCTTCCCATTTAAATACTTTATTATGATGTTACAAATATTTATTAAACGACGAAGTCTAATAAGGGAAAGATGTGAGCTAATTCTAGGAGCGATGGGAAATAAATACTTATCTCCCCGAAACTGAGACACATGATTCCGGTATAAACGTATTCACACGAGTAACGTGAGAATGTGGTAATCGAGAACTTGGCGAGCAACATAAGGCACGATAGGCATGCCGCCGTGGGCAGGTGACACGGATGCATTCCGATAGCGCGAAAGTGCACGGTGTTCATTAACGTAGGGTGCACGACACGGCGTGTAGCGTTACGCCGGTCATGGTCCGTAACAAAAATGTGCCTGGCTGATTGCCAGCCGTTTGTAAAATTTACAGCCTCGGTCGCAATTCTCCCGGCAATGCGAAATGTCTCGGTACAAAGCGGGATTCCGTGACGTTCACGTTAGAGGGGGCCAGAGAGCGGGGGAGCACCGCGGTGATATCGATTTACATTACGCTAAAATTACGCCGCATGCTGTTAATTTAGCTCTCATCGCGTGGGCATGCGAGGTATTTCCACCGCAAACGCAGGTATGAATACGCGGCTATGAATACGCCAGCCCCGTTATTACGATTTATGTCGCGTATTCCACCCCCGTCTATCACGTCACTTATTGAAAATTATCAAAGCGAGTTTAACGACTCCGCTCGTGTATTCTCAAATAGGCTATTCGTGAGAGATCCGTTTGACCGATTAATAACTAATAATCGCTGATGTGAAATAATTAGACCAATGCTAAACGAAGCGTAAACCGATGAATTAGATACATTGATTTGTATGATAATATACCTCATAAATTTTTAAAATATACTAATTATAAATCAGATCAATCGACAAACAGGTTATCAATAAAGATTTTACAGAAAACAAATTATGTTTCGCAATTTTTGTAATCTATATATCTATACATGGAAAAAATAATTAACAGCATCAATCAACAGCGGTCTAATTAAAAATCATCTTATTAATTTTCAATGATAGTATTAATAAAACAAATACAGTGTTATTAAAGCAAGAGCATGGCGTATTTGTTTCATTAATACTCTCTGTGTAGGATCATACACTGATCAGATAGATAGCAAAACCAATCAGTTTGTATCGATAAAAGCTTATTATGATAATATCGCGACGAGTAATCTTGCATTAATATTTGATTTCATCAATAACGCAAAGATTGCATTTAATTATTAAACTAGATGGTCGAATGTCAATACAGAAACGCGTGTTTATTTTGAAAGCTGGTCTTCGTATCGCGAGCACTTAATAGATTCCATTATTCAGTATTCCATTACACCCCGTGTTAATGGGGATCATGATAAGTGCAAAATCATTCGTTTTTTCCGTGTTATCGAAACGCCCGCATTTAAACGCAGATAAACATTAAACGGATAGCTGGATTTCGCGATGAGCAGAAATCCCACATCAGCGCGTTATCCGATGCGATAAGTATAAAATTCGAGTGTGACCTGGCGAGAAAATGATTTGAGAAATTTCAAGCAAAGAGAAAGGCGCTTTTCTATTTTTCTCTCTTTCTCTGTCTTTGTAGAGAGAAAATATAGTCTACATTCCTGGTTGAAGGACTCTATGATTTATAGTTGCACACGACGTACAGCAAAAACTCTTTCGGCGCATACTTAGCATGCACATTATTCCGTCAAACGTCCGCTGTACCGTTGCCAACCACACATCGGCCATTAGGAGGAAAACAGGATTGATGAGAATGCCCGAACATGACGATTCTCAGCCGCGTAAAGAGAATTCCATCGCTTTCGTTGAAACTAAAGAAACGAAAGTATCTTTTTACCGTTTATCTTTATCGCCTTCTAAAAGCGGGTCCATAAAGTAACGTGAAAACGATGTTTCTCAAGTGATACTTAATGCTTGTATTTTGCAGCAAAACAGTTTTACTGTTAAAAAAATCTTGTCTACTTGCGAATATTTTCTTTAGATTAAAATTTTAATGATTAGATTAGCTACTAATGCCTATTTCTACAAATGTAGATTAACTTCAATCTCAGTTCAACTGACTCTTTATTTTTTTCTAATTTTTAAGACTAGAAAAAGTAAGTTTAACCCAGATTAAAGTTAATTTAGTAAGTTAATCTATATTGATAAGCATAAATTAAGTTTCATCTAGATTTAAGCAACAGATTAACTTCGGTTACAAAATTATCAAGGAAAATATTCAAGTCTTGATGCAAGTCTCACGAGATTACGTCGAGAAATAGTTTAATGGAATATTAAATATATCTTCTCAAAATCTGATCGCGCGCAGACTTGTGACTTGAGAGAATCGGAAGCCAACTTCGTCGTTGTGAACAACTATGCTGAAACATTTTCATTCGGGTGAGGCTAAGCGATTCACGCCCATGCGTGAAAGCAATCGCCGACGGCTGGTCGGCCTTGCCAATCGGCAAACGAATCATTGAGCTTCTGTCAAAGTCAGACGTGCGTGGGAACAATGCGCGCGTCATTCTCCTGGCATCTGGTACACGTGGAGACATCCTCATTTTCATTTGCGTTTCATATGTGTTACAACGCGTCCGTAATACGTTTTATTTTTTACATCAGCGAGACTGCAGAAAATATAAGGAAAAGAAAGAGAACAAATCCAGATAAGTTATTTACGCGATGTGAATAATAATTGCAACGTAAAATAAAATCGCAAGTAAAATCGCGAAAGGGAAATACATTTCGGACTGACGACGTTAATCACTAATGAGCGACAATAATAAAAGGATCTTTGTGAAATGCTATACATTTGATGGAGACAAACGAGCAGCTTCAAAATAGTAAGCTAAATATTTGGTAAATTATTACGAGCAAGGTATATATAAGTCATCTTAATTTAACATTCTCTACTATTTGGTGAGCCTCATGAGAATCACCGTTCGCTTTAATTCTGGTACTTAGAACTGAACGTATGCAAAAGATAAATGGCGAGGCATATGATACGGCCAAAATTCATTATGTTAATTGCCGTCCCTAGGGCTGAAAGATGGATATAAGCCGAGAACTGAATAATGAAACAAAGGTAACAGAATTAATTTTATTCCATAGACGATCGGATATGACTCATGTACTAAACTACAAATTGCCATAATAGATGTGAGAAAACTGGAATAAATAAATTCGTGCTATTATTAAACATACTAAATTTAATAGATTCAAAACTCTGATCGAAAAACAAGTATTAACTTGAATATAAATAAAATTCGAAATTTTTTATATTTTAAACAAGAAGTATGTATAGATGACATTTGCTTCATGGAAAGAACGGTTAACTAAAGTATCTAAAGGTTAATTAGATACAGACCTGAAAATTATTTTGTTAGACCATCAAAATAATTATGTAAAATGGTCAAGCTAGTTGCAAAACTTTTTGCCGCATTGTTTATAGGACTTGTGTGTTGTGTGTGTGTGTGTGTGTGTGTGTGTGTGTGTGTGTGTGTGTGTGTGTGTGTGTGTGTGAGCGTCCGATGCAATTATTTTGATAGTTAAACAAAATTATTTTCAGATCTAGCTACATTTTCAGATACCTATACATTTCAGTAAAATCGTTCTTTCTATTAACTATTCAATATTAATAATATTATAAAAATATATTTTTATAATATATATATTATACATTTTTAAAAATGTATAATATTAAAAAAAATTTTTTTTTTATAAAAAGATCAGGTCTTCTTTATCTTCAAATTTATAGAAAATCACGCTTCAATGAAAGAAAAGAATATTCTGATATTAATCTGACAAACTTTTTATGATCAATGACGCTAATTAATTTCTCATCGAATTATTCTGCAGGAAGTTTCAGTATGGAAGTCATTTCCTCGCTTTATAATCAATGACATGACATCTCTATTTCTTAAACTTCATTTTAAAAGTTTTCTCGGATAAATTGACGTGTGTCGTCATAGAAGTCGATAAAACTTGATTTTAATGACTTAACTCGAACTTTAATTACGAACTCAATTTGGGGCACTCCAAATTGAGTGGTCGTTTTCTTGAAAATCGAGCCTGCCAAGACGTTCGATCGCCAGTTACATAGACTGCGAGGGTGGAAAATAAAAAGTTTCCCCAAAACAACGCCACGATGCCGGTGAAGATATAACTCTGTTATCATTTCCATGCTATTTTACAGCATTTTGCTGGCAATCAGACCAACAATCTTAAAATACGTAAAAATGAAAAGTCATTTGATGGATAAAATTAGTAATATTAATTTAATTGTGTGTATCCGATTGGAAATATCTTAAACAAATAATACGTGACAAGATATCGATATGTGGATCGTATGATGAAGATAAGGTCAAAGTTCAATTGTGGATTAATTTCGAAATTAACCAATCAATTCTCGAGATTGCCAGTTTAATTCTTGATTAAAGCAAAGTCGATGTTGATACTTAAAATTGCATCGATACCAGGCGGTAATCCTGATGGAATCGTAGTGGCCACGTGATCGAGACGTTTGTGACATTCTATCTGTCCACGTGCGAAATTTCACGAAATACATCATCTCAGATATCTCAGTACAATAATTTAACAGTTTTTCCTGCACGTTCATTTACTGAAAAGCTTTTTTTTGGGAGGGGAAAACAGCAAGAAATGCAGTTCATAAATGTGTCAATTAATTAT